CCCCAAAACCCCAAAACCCCAAAACCCCAAAACCCCGCAAAATTTAAAATATTTTACAATTCGAATTTGATAAAAACATGGGTGTCCACAAACTTATGAACCTTATTAATGAAAAGGCTGAGAAGGCGGTTACAGATATCTATTTGTCAAGTTTCGTTAGTGAAATGAAAGATAAGATGAATCCACCTCCTGCCAAAGCTGGTGAAGATCATAAAGGTATTTTCTAACTAATTTCAATCTTTTTAGAAGCACATAATCCTGAAATCAGTCCAAATGTAGTGATAGATGGAGTAGTATTCTTATATAGTACCATCTTAAGAGTTTATAAACAGTAACTACCCTCTTCTTAAAACTTTAGGAAAATGAAAATTTTTAGTAAGGCCGAAATTGAAGAAGTTGAAGAAGCAGAAGAAGTAAAGGAAGAGTACAAGAAATTGATCCAACATGACATACTCAATCGCCTAATTGAGTTTATAGAGAATGGATTAAGCATTGTATTTGTCTTTGATGTTTCATCTTCCTTCTCAACCAATGATCTGGTAATGATTAAGAAGGCGGGATGCACTTTTGATAGACTTAAAATGGCGGAAGTAATCCCTCAAGACCTTTATAATGACACTAAGAAAATTATCAGCATCCTTGGAGGTGAAGTTGTGGAAGTCAATGGAAATATTCACTATGAATGCTCTAAACTATCAAAGAAATACAAAAGTCTTGCAGTTGTCAGTGAAGATTTAGCATTTCTGATCTTTGAGACTCCAGCGATCATCAGATACATTGATGCTGAGAAAGGATTCATTAGACTAATTCAAACTGAAGAGATGCTGAAATCTTTCAATATTAATCAAGAGCAATTCTCTGATTTATGTATTTTACTTGGATGTGATTACTCAAAAACTTTTGAATTGCTTCATACTGCCAAAGCATTAGATTACGTTCAAAAGTATAAAGACATAGAGTACATCATTAGCCATTTTGAGTCTGAATACAAAGATGTAGGAGATATGAAAATGCTAAAATATCTCGATGAATATGAATACCTTGATGCAAGGAAAAAGATTAATGCAATTGATGCTGAAGACTTTAAATTTGCAATAAAGAAAACTACTTTTCCTCAGTTCGAACAGCCAGATCTCGAAGTAGCTTTTGATTTAATCGTGGGAAACAAAGAAGATGGTTTTAAGTACTTTGCTCCTCAAAACAGTAATTATACTGAAAAACTACTAAATAGACTTAAGGAAGATGGTGCAAAATTAATCCAGAAAAAGCTTCAGTTCTTGGCATTGTAAAAATACAATAATTTTCAATCTATATGATTTCTCAGGGGTTTTGGGGTTTTGGGGTTTTGGGGTTTTGGGG